ATATCCAGCCAATGTTTCATTATTTATATAAAAACTTACCTATCTCATTAATATGCAAATTCACCTTGATATTTAATAATTTGGCAAAATATGTACACCAAAGAATTTTTTTTTTTAACTTTATGATTTAACCAGGTATGGTGGCACATGCCTTTGATTTCAGCACTTGGGAGGGGGGAGGGGAGAGGCAGGTGTATCTCTGTGTTTGAAACCAGCCTGGTACATAGTGAGTACCAGGACAGCCAGAGCCACATAGCAGCACCCTGTCTCAGTGACTGTCTGTATAGCTATTTTGTACACTCGTCCGGGGTGACAGAACACGTTTTCAGGTGAAAGCTGGGGAGATGGCTCGGTGGGTAGCGTGTTTACTGTGCGAGCATGAGGACCTGAGTTCAGAGCCCCAGCATCTACATAAAAGCTAGGAGTGTCAGAACATACCTATAACTCCAGAACTGGCAGAGGGGGGATAAAAGGGCTGCCAGGGCTTGTTGGCCAGCCTACCTGGCTGAAAGTCAGTGAACAAGGCAGCGGAGTGAGAGAGCAGACAACTGACTTTCTCTGGTCTCTGAATGGACATGTATGGGCGACACCCAGGGACATACTTATGTCCGTGGACATACATACACGCAACATTTTTAAAAGCAAAAATAAATTTCTTCCATGAGAAATTGGGTTGAGATATATATATATATGCATATATGCACATACATATAAATGTATACAAAACTGTGTATATATATACACACACACATACTACATATATGTGTGTGTATGTATGTACATGTATGTAGTTTTGGTGTGCTGGCAGTGCATAGTGTGGTGTGTGCATAGATATCTGTTCACATCTCCACACAACAGCAGAACAGCTGTCATCCATGCAGGCTACAGCTAGGGGCAGGTGGTTGTGCTTTGCATATGTAAGACCAGCAAGGAGAAACTGATAAATTCCCCTGAAACATACACTGTGGGGTGGGTGAGCTGCACCATTTTTGCCCCAAACCCGGGGAGGAAACAGCCTGAAAGCTGGAACATGCCCCCCCCCCCCCCGTTGTGGGATGAGGAGGCACCCTCTTCTTCTGGACCTGCCCAGGAAGTTGTCAGCACAAAAGGAAACTTCAGGGAGAGTATGGCAACAGGGGAGAAATAACGGTTCCCTCAGTGTTCAAGCCATGAGGACCCCGTGCCCATTAACCTGAGACGGCCCACTCCCCACCTGTCCACAGACCTGTTCCTCCACAAGAAAGAGCCCGGTGACCACACTCCAATCCCAGCTTTGTTCCAGGCACAGTGTCACTGGTGTCTGCACCAGGCACAGGGCAAGTCAAGGAGAGAGAGAAGGCTAAGAGACCTAGGGATAATACTGCTCACTGGGCAACACCCCCAGCATGGTCTCAGGTCCCAAGAATCCAGATCATCCAACAGGGGCAGCATTCAGAGGATCCAAAGGACTGCCCAAAGGTCACTCAACAGTGGTGAGGGGCAAGCTGGGTTCGGTGTTCGGATGTGTCAGAGCGTGTGGTACCTTTAAGCATCCCCACCTTGGGTTTAGAGCTCAAGGTCACCTAGGCTGGCTGGCATCAGTACCTTACCCCTTGGTCACTTCCCAAGCCTGGGAGTACACTGGCCACCAGAACATGATCATTCTTTGTGTGTGGGAACCTCTCTGTTACTCTTAGGCAGTGTGTACTCAAAGTCAGGTTGGGCAGGTGGGCCACTCTGATACCCCTCACAGGTGGGGCATGGCCAGTTGAACGTCCTCAGAGGATGGATGTGTCCTCTCTGCCCTGGAAGCAAATGACCATGAGCATTAGAAAACCCAGACGCTGGAGGAAGAGATAAAGAGACAAGCCATCTGTGTGAACAGGGCCTCATCACCACAAGGTCAAGGTGGGGTCAGGCTCATTAGCCAGTAGGGGGAAATGAGAGAGACTTTTGGCTCATTGGCATCATGACCCAGAGACAGCTGCCCAGAGTATCCTCTGCTTTGGTCTCAGAAGGAGCTAATGAAAGCCATGTTTCATAGAGCCAGGCCATGTCTGTCTGTCTGTCTGTCTATCTATCTATCTATCTATCTATCTATCTATCTATCTATCTATCATTTTATTTTTCAGTCAAGGCTTCACAGAACACAGGCTTGCCCTGAGCTGGCTTTGCGAGTGAAGATGAACTCCTGGTCTATCTTCCTTTAGCTTTCAGAGCTCTGGAACTCCGTGTCAGCCATACTCCATTTCATACGGTAATAAGGATTGAACCCAGAGCTTCTTGTGCACCAGGCGAACACTCTACCCGCTGGACCACATCCCCAGCCCCTTCACTCTAACCCTGTCCCTTTCCTCTAGTCCAGTTTCTGATCCAGCACACCCTTATCCCCATTTTTACAGCTTCTCCCTATCTGTGTCATTACATGCTCTGCTCACATCCTGGCCCCCTCAGCACCCTTCTACTCCATCTAGGCTCCCCACAGGATTCCTGCGCCTCAGCTACACATCAGTCCTTTCTTTTTAATCATGGCTTTGAAGATTGAGCTCAGGGTATTAGGAGCACTGGGCAGACATCCCACCACAGGGCCATATCTCTATCTGACTGGTGGGGGGGTCTGTTGATGGCCCAGGTCTACCCTATAGACCCTCTCTCTGCTCCTCTAGAACCCACCAAGGAAGTTTGCTTGTGGATGGAGATGCTAGCTGGAGCGCAGTGGCTTTTCTGTTTGAGGGTTTCTGTCAGTTGCTAGGGTACTTTGTAAGGGCATCTTGGGAAGACATCTTGGGAGTGCACAGTCCCTGGATAGAGGCAAACTGCAAAATGTGACTCTGTGTCCAGGAGAAGGAGTCAGGGGCCACAGGTGTCCTAATTCTGGACTGAGGGGCACAGGTTGTAATGGCCTAAGAATTAACCAGAAAGAGGGTATCCCAAACTCAGTGACAGCTTTGGAGGAGACCTCCAATTCAGTGAGAGCCTTGAAGGGAGCTCCCAACTCAATGAGAGCCTTGAACCTTGGAGGTTCAAGAGCTCAAAAACTCAAGAGGAGCCTTGAAGGGAGCCCCAAATTCAAAGAGATCCTAAAACATTGCAAAAAAAAAAAAAAGTCCCCTTATTCATCCTGCTTAGGAGGGTGATGGGTTGATCCTAATGTGTGCCTAAGGGAACTGAGACTGAGATGGGAGAGCCACAGTTGCCAGCTGTGGGTGACACAGATAGGATCCCAAACAAAGCCCTCAGACCATGGAGCCTACACAGTCAGGCGCCATGTTATCTGTCCTCCCTCTCCCTCTCTTCATATGTCTTCATATGGATATGTATGTATGTTAATCTATCGATCTATCTATCTGTCTGTCTATCTATCTATTCATTTTTAAAAGATGCATTTATTTTTATTTTGTGTGGTTTCAGGGAATTGATCCCACGTCCTCTGAAACAAGACACGCCTGCAACCACTGGGCCGTCTCTCCAGCCTCAGACACCACTTTACTCTCTACTTGATAAGTGCGTGTATGTGCTCGCATGTGCACGCCGAGGCCGGAGGTTGATGAGGTGTCTTCTACCACCTTCCACGTTTAAAGGACATTTGTTCTGCACTCGCTTATTCGTCTTGTGTGAACGTATGTGCACATCCACGCCAAAGCATCTATGTGGAGACCGGAGGACAATGTGTTGCCGTCTGCTCTCTGCTTCTACCATGTGGGCCTGGAGACTCAAGCTCTGGCTTAGACATAAGTACTTCTACCCCTGAGCCATCTTACTGAATGACCCTCCACTCTATTTTATTTGTTTATATTTATTTATTTTTGTGTGACACTTTCTTTCATACAGCCTGGAGCTTAGCCAAATTGGTGTTAGTGCGCTCAGAGATCCCTCTGCCCTGGCCTCCCAGCATGCCGGGGTTATAGACACTCACTGTCCAGGCCCATACTACTGTGACTGCCATTCTACATGGGTGTTGGGTCTCTGAGCTCCAGTTCCATCATGCTTGCATGGAAAGCACCTTACTGGCTGAGCTATATCTCCTAGATACCGGTGTCCTTCTGCTGTGACCCCACTCGTGTGGGTTGGAAAGGCCACCTTATGCCTGTCAAATGCATTATCATTTTTGAAGTGCTTTTCAAAGGTACGCTTAGTTTCTACCCAAGGGAGTCAGGGGAAGGGGCTGAAAGTCTTTTGGTGGGTGTGGGTAGCTGAAGACTTCAGGATTTTCTCTGCCAGACTGACCAGCTGTAACCAAAACTATCCTCCAGGAGGCACAGGAGGAAGACAGGCTACTTAGCCTGCCTCCCTAAACCTCAGTTTCCTCCTGTGTCACATGCAGCCATCTATGAGAAGTGCCACCAGGGGGCTGTAGAGGGACGCTAGAGGGGCAGGTGCCCCCACCAAAACCCTCAGCAAGATGGGGGCTGCCTGCCTTTGTCTTGACAGCAGGAGGAGGGGGAATGGGAGCGAGCCCTGGGCCCCCTCCTCCTGCCCAGCTAGCCCAGATGAAATGGCTGTGTGGGTGGGCGGGCAGAGGCTCTGGAGAAAACAGTGAGTCACCACCGGCCAGAGCCTGAGCGGAGCGTGTCCCTCCCGGCTGGAGAGAGCGGTGGCGGCAGGTTTCATGGGTAATTATGTAATTTATGAGTCTCCTGCTCCGGGCTCCATCTGAGTCAGCCCGTCTGAGTCGTGACCAAGCTGAGGCCCAGCAATGAGAAAGAGCGTGGGCACAGGCTGTATCCCAGGATCTGGCCTCTGCCCCTGGGGGCTCAGCTTGTGCAGATGGAGGGGTTGATGTGCTAGGAAAGGGTCTTTCATATTCCCTGGTTCCTGAATCAGGCTATGGGGCTGGTACACAGGGGTCAGGAATCCAGGTGTGAACCTCAGCTTTGGGATGTTGCTTACAGCAAAAGGACAGAGGCCAGAGACATCCCTGGGGGCCCCTCCTGAAGGAGACCAGACGATGCTGTTAACCCCCACGACCCACTTAACAAAAGTCCCTCTGAACACAGACACGCAGGCGTATTTACATTTTATGATATATGTTTATTATTCAAAGGGCTTCATACACTGAGACTTTGAAAGCCATGAGCAGAAATCCCTCCTTCCCTCCATGCTCCATCCCCTGGGTCTGCCTACCCACCCCGACCCCAGGTTCCTATGCAAGGGCTGCTCAGGGGCTGAGATTTGAAATGCAAAGCTTGCGGGGAGGGCTGGGGAAAGGGTAAGAAGCAGGGGATACTGGTTGGGGCCTCAGAGGGGGATGGCTCGGGTTGTGGCAGGGGTGCTGGATTCCACTGGGTTCTGGATGGTCCTAGTCCTCTTAGATGGGCATTTGGGGCCATCTTCTAGGCTCGAACATCTTTGTTGTCTTAAGCAGAAGATCCAGGGAGAAGAAGCAACAAACATGGACAGAGCAGCTGCTGCAAGATGGAAAGAAAGAGACGTTAGAGGGAGCCCCAAGTTTCTCTGGCACCCCAGCACCCCATAATCCCTAAGCCATCTGGCGAGTTGGCACAGAGATCCCTGTCCCTCTCTCACTAAGTGGCCCTGGTATGCCTTTTAGCTTAGTCTTTCCATCTGCAAGGAACCAGTGCCCAGGACAGAAAAAAGATAGAGACTCCAGGCTGCAAGAGTGCCAAGCCCATCTCCCCTTGTCCTCCCCTTCCTTCATTCTCTCTCCCAACTGGCTCTCCCCACCGAGCCCTCCCCCTTACTACTTTTCCTGGCTAAAACCCACCGCAGACACCACCACACCCGGAAAGAGATAAATAAATAAAAGAAAAACAATCTCAACTGTGAAAAGCAGTCCAAATCAGAATTCTTTTCCGGCCTGAGTTAATTACACTTTAAACTGGCATGTTTACTGATGGGGATTTCGAGTGAACAGAGACAGCCCCCCTCCCCAACTGTTTGTACAGTAAACTTTGCAGGCTGGCGGCTCCCCCAGGCCTTGGCAGCCCCGCAGCTCTGGCTACCCTGCCTGCCAAGGAGAGTGTAGCAGAACCATGTATTTTTGAGTGTTAGAGAAAACGAAGCTGTCGCAGATGGCAGGAGTGGGGAGGGGGCGCGGCTGGGTTGTGTGCCTTCAACCCCATTCTGTGCATTCTCAACACAACTTCTGGACCCCGTGCCCTGGGAAAACCCCATCCTTGTTCCAAACCCTAAAGATGCTAAGTATAAGTCTTGAGGACCGACACTCACCAGGCCCAGCGATGGCTTCAGGTCAGGCCTCAGGCCTTGCTCACAGCCATAGCTCTCCCACGGATGTACCCAATGGAACTGTCCCAACCTAGGACTAGCAGCTGGGATGGAATGTAGGTGGAGCTCCTGCACATCCACGCCTGAGGACCAATTCCGTGTCACCTGCCTGCAATGAAAAGAGGCCAGCAAGCATTCATTCACAGTGTCTTCTGTGTCAAACCTAGGCAAGCACAGGGACACAGGGGAACAAGGTAGCGAGGGCCCCACCACAGTAGCGTCGATAAGGGATAACATGATGAGCATCCGAGGGCAAGTGAGAAGTGTGTTGGGCTGGAGCAAGAAGGCTTCCTGGAGGGGGCAGGGCCTGGGGCAGCCTGCCCTCCCTCGGGCTCCTTCGCACTCCCAGCCCTGCCACCTTCACTGGGAGGCTGCTGTTCTGTGATCCTCTAGCTGCCCTCCATGTCGCCAGGATAATGAGAAAATGATGGACGAGCCTCCATCAGGTCCTGTGTCCCGGCCCTCAACCCTGTCCTCACCCATGACAAATGGCCCCACCACCTCCACAGGGTCTTTTCAGCGGCCCTGGCTGTGGCATTGGTAACATTGCTGAAGATTTATATTGTCTTCCCTGGATGTTTCTTCCTTTCCCTGCTTCTTAATTTCCTCAAAAAAAAAAAAAAAAAAAAAAAAGGTGTGTTTTTATTTATTCATTCCACAAACATTCTCTGAGCGCTGCCCGTGGGCTTCCTTACAGCTATGATTCATCATCTCCTTGTTGCTTGAACCTAAGCCCATTTGATCCAAGGAAGACAAGTATTTTCTGAGCATCTACTATGAGCAAGCCCTAGGGGTACACAGGTTCCCACAGCCCTTCAAAACTTGACAAAGAAACTTTACTGACTCACTAGATGTGGGTCTGACTCCACGTCCCCACTCCATAAGGACGGGAGCCTCCCTTCCACGGTCTTAAGTCCTTCTTGAGTCCTTAGGTGTAGTAAGAGAAACTGGCCAGGAGGGGACCAGACTCAGGACTCAGGCCCTGACCACATGGCAATGGCATCTTTAGGACTACCCCATCCCACCTGGCACATATTCTGGGATGGCTCACAGCTCTCTAGCCACGCACGCACCGGCTGTACAGTCTCCTTGAAACCAGTAAAGGAATGAACCATTGGCTCAGCCTAAGCACATCCAGAAGAAACCATGGGATAGGTAAACTGGCTCTCATCCCTGGCAGGCACAGAAAAACAGCCTGTACTCTGTGACCGTGGCACACTGGGTTTGCACACTGTCTTGGAGATGGTGAATTCTCTGACCCCTGAAGGTCCGCCAGGGACTTTCCTCCTGCCTGCCTTGGGGACAGGCATTTTCACTTGACTCAATGGATGAGAAAAGTCCTTTGTTTGTCTTTTGTTCTCCTCAAACAATAGATAAATCTAGTAATTTTGCTTTTAATAAAAGTCTGCACCAAGCGGGAGGGATCATCCTCTTTGGGTCTCCAATGAGTTTGGAATGTGTTTGTGGATGATTGCTTGGCACCCCAGCTGACATTCCATCTCGTGAATAATACTCCCTTAGTGGGTGAGGTATCTGGGACTTCCCCTTCAGTGGTGAAGGGGCTTGGGGCGGCCCTCCTGCCACACTGTGGTGTGGCTGCGCTTGCATTGGAGCAATTAAATCGGGAGACCAGTGGCTTCCTCGCACACATTTAATATATTCCAAAGATGTGTCATTAACAGCAATTTCCATCTCCAAATGTTCCCATTTACTCAGGTCCATGCATAAAATATTAGCCCTGACAGCAGCTCAGGCCTCTGCTGCACAAGGGGCTCCAAGGGGCCTCTGGCTCACTGCCACAGATGTGTAGGGCAGGGGTGTGCTCAGCTAAATCTGAAGTCTAGCATGGGGCCCCAGCTACAAAACCGGGGGCTGGGGTGGGAAGGAAAAAGCCATAGACCTAGCTAACCTGTCCCCTATTGCAGCAAATCTCAGAATTCAATGATATGCTTGAGGTGTGTGTGTGTGTGTGTGTGTGTGTGTGTGTGTGTGTGTGTATGTTGAGGGGAGGGGCTCTAACAAATGCAAAGACCATGCAAATTCCACCTTCCATATTTATGGAATCAGCCACCACGTCTTATGGAATTCCTGCTTCCATGCGCATCACTTTCCTGGGGATTAACCTAATATGTGGTCTGCCTTTGGGAACTCTATTAGTCAATCAGCAGGCTTCATTATTCTGTCACTATAGACCTGGCCTGGATCCTAAGGCTTAGAATGTAGCAGAGGATAAGTCAAGGAAGTGAGAAAGAAGGGAGGTAAGGGAAAAAGAGGGAAGGGAGGGAAGGAGGGAGGGAGGGGGGAAGAAGAAGGAAGGGAAGTGGGGAGAAACAGAAGAAAGAAAGCTACAAAGGTCCATCCCGTGCCTTGAGAAAACTTGACAGTTTTTTGAGGGGGAGGGTGGAGAAGCTGGGAATGTGTAGACAGTACTAGGCAGTTTGGGATAGCAGGTAGCTGGGAGGCAGATGGATAAGAGGGTGCCAGGAAAAGGAAGGAGGAGCTGGATCACTCGTGTCAGGCTGCCTTTGATGGCACTGCAGAGCAGTAACAATCCACCCCTCTCTGAATCTTGAACTCCTGTGAAAGGGGTTCAAGGAAGGCCAAGGAAGAGGGCTGGGCTGTGTGGGGAGAAAGCCACCTGGACCGGCTCCCAGAAGGAGGGTCATGAGTGGAGTGAGCAGGCCTCCCTGAATAAGAGGAAGAAACCTCCAGGAGGCATGTGCTAGGCCCAAGTCAGAGCAGGCAGCCAGGCCTTTGGGCAGGACTGTGTAGGAGGGGGGATGTAGAGGGGAGGGAGATAGTGTCTCCTGTGGGCAGAAGACTTTGTTGCAGAGGAGGCCCAGAAGAGGAGAGGAGGCATGCAGGATGGAGCCGCCGGGTCAAGGGTGCCTCTTGCACTGGTGGGGTGGTGCAAGCCACCCTGGAGAACCTTGCTAATAATACCAAAAATCTACAGCCTGCCTTTCAGGGGTCAATAAGCTGCTTTCTGGGTCCCTGAGTCTTCAGGCCAAGTCTCTATGGTAAGCTCACAGGAGTCTGGTAGAGCCAGTGCAAAGATGGAGAAAGCATGAGTGAGTACGAGCCAACCTCCTCCTGGAACCCCTGACCACTTGAGGCAAGGTCACAGGTTAGTATCACTGCCTTACGGACACCAGGGAACATTCTGTGTTGTTTCCACAGAGTGGAACTTGGAAGGTCATTAATAATAATAAAATCGTCATTAATAAAGCAAACTCATCACAGAAGGCCAAGCAATGGTCGCATATACAGACTATGGCGCCAACCGACACAAAGGCTCCTGCTGCTGGTGTCAGCACCGCAGAATAGAAATGGTCTAGGATAGGGTGTGACACAGGAAAGTATACTGTGTAACAGTCATCATAAGCTGAGCATCTCAGAGGTGACCCATTTCAGGTACCACCAAGCAGTTTAGATTCTCCTTCCTCTAAGATGGCTGCCTGGACTTCCCAAGCCCCACCAAGGGAGATGTGATGCTCTGGGCCAGGATGAGTCAGATACGTGCCCCACTATCGGCTGTGTCCAGTGGGCCAGTATGCCCCTCCCCTGACACCCAGGCTCACAAGGTCAGATCCAGTACTAGAGAGGTGAGCATGTATTGTACCATCACGAGGAATGGACACCCGTCACGGGCAATCTCACCTCAGATAATAGGAACTACACGGTTCCTCCCCAAGCGTGATGCCAGCCGGCCCTCCAAGCACTCATGGCATTGGGAGTGATCCAGGGTGCAGGGCATGCAGGCATGCAGCCCTCCGTGGACCACCTTAGAAAGGGACAGACACCCACTCTTGTGGCAAGAGGCATGGAAAGTGGACACATTCCAGCCAGCCATCGCACGTAAGGCCAACGCTTCGGGGCCAGCCTGCAAGGTTGGTGTGATCCCAGGAGGTTCCTCACGATGGAGGTGAAGCTGAGGTTCAGTGAAGAGGGTGACAAGTGCCATAGAGAGTCCATGCATTCACCTACCGGGCAGTGGTGGGACACCTGGTATGTACCGCCGAGTGACAGGAGTGACAGGTGGTATTGAAAACAGGCCATCTGTGTTATATTCGTCATTAATAAAGCGAACTCATCACAGACAACCTCTCCTCAAGTACCCAATGTTGGTTGTCTTGTCCATCAATGGCACTTCTATCACATCCTGAAGCTGTCCTGGTGGGAGGGGGAAGGGGAAATTGCATATGAATGGTGAAAGGAGTTGGGCACAGACAGTATACACAGGTCCCACTCAGCCCAGTTCCCCGCTGAGGCAGCAACCTAGAAGCACCATGCTGTCCCCATCCCCACAGGGGCGCGACTCCAAGAGCTTCTCCAAGCTGAGCGTTGATACTGAGAAAAGATCAACCATGTATTATTCGAAGTCAGCCAAGCGAATATAACACGGTCGATCTCCCTTCAAGTACCAGCAGAGGTGCTGAGCTGAGGCAGTGGCATCCTGGGCGAGGGTTGCAGCGGGCACCGACGGCTAGTGGACCAGGTGAAGTACATTAGAAACAATTACTTTCCAGCTGGTCGACCATCCGTCCCATACCCCAGAGCAGAGACGATTCCGTGTTCTTCCCTGAGGTGCTGGACCTTCAATCTGCCTCCCTGGAGGGATTTGATACCGAAAAGGGGTTCACCGAGCAACATTCGTCCTCCAGATGCAAAGTTGCTCGGGTAACCTCTCTTCGAGTACCATGGAGAGGCTCGGATGCTCAGACCAAGGCCGATGCTTCAAGGTGGCTGCGTTTCCAGAAGACCCATCTCCGGAGCCCCTCAGAGCTGGCACCCTCCCCCCCTTCGCCAAGGAACCCCCCTCCACTCCCTGCCAGCACTTATTCCACCACCTCCCCGGTGCATCTGCCGTCGTCGTTCACTCAGAATGAGTCGCTAGAGCGTTCCCGGAAGATGACCTGGAGCTGACCCTGAGCAGAAGAGGTGGGCACGGTGCAGGAAGTAAACACAGAACCCTGCTCACTCTCAACTCTCACTTGCCAGCCCTGGACACAGGAACGCTCTACTGCATGCATCCTGCGCCATCATCCAAGGAAGGATGCCTTTCAGAAGCAAGAGGGTAATGACAGCAACATCCAGAGATGCTCTCTCCTTGGGCCCAACTGCTGCAGCCCTCCCCAACCTGGCATTCCCACCATTCACTGGTGGTTTAACATGTCACAGAAAAAAACATTTGACCATTCAACCCATAGACAAAGGGAATAAAATGTCGAAGATAAACATGGAGGGAGGAGAGGAAGAACAACCAACAAGGAAATCCTGAGTGGTCCCTCTTCACACAGTGCAATCCCATACAAGCATGCCATAGGAGAGGGCTGATCAGTAAGGGTTATTAGGACCCATTGACTTAGGCCACAAGCAGAGTCTGGATTCTGTATCCACCATCCATTTTGTAAAGTGTGCAGTGTGCAGTGGGACCCACAGCAGAATCCTCTCTCTGACATTGGCAAGAGTTCTCACAGGCCTCTAGCCTTGCTGTATGTAGTGCGGCGAGAGGCTGGTCACATGCAGTAGGCCATATGGGGAAAGGCAGCATGGGCAGCTTGCTCTAGGTGTTCTGGAACTGACCTGTAGAACAGAGGCTCTTCTCTGAGCTGGTATCACCTCCTGGAAATTCTCCTTCTAAGAACCGCACAGTTGTGATGACGGTGAGTAGCAGTAGATACGGTCAGCAAGTAGGCTTAGACCTGTCCAGTGTTTTCCTCCAGTCACCTGTCCTATAGCGGGCTCGAGCCACTGACCAGCTCCAAGACAATGATGCAGCCTCTCAAGTCCTTCGAGGTAAAGATCCTTCTGGGAAGAGAGCCACCATGAAACCTTGGGCACCTATAAAGCATGGCAGAAAAGAAGGAGTCCATCACACCCCAGGCAGTATATTAGATCCTGGATACATCAACTCTATGACAACCTCCCATATGGGGCCTGCTTCCAGGACAACGTAATTGCTCAGCACCAACCATGGGCATGTCTGAAAGCCTAGCAATTGGGAGCTGGCAAACATGGAAACCCAAGAAAGGGCAGCCCCTAGAATGTTCCAGGTACCCACTGCTCTGGAAAAGAAGACTCCATTGACCATGGAGCATCCACCCCACTCCAGAAGCCAGGGTCTTACCTGGAATGTCTCGTGAGGATAAAGATGATGGAAGGGTACTCACAGGGTGCATCGTCTGGCACTGGTACCCATTCACAACCTCCAGATGACTGTCACCAGCTCATTACCACTCTCTAGAAAACTCTCTGTAAAGGTTTGGGACAGAAAATAAAAGTTTAACCACACAAAGGACCTGTGCTATGACCAGGTCTTTCTACTGGCCCCACTGGCTCTAGTCCAAACACATAGATTTCCCCATCTGACCAAAAACTGCACCCACATTGATTTTCATAAAAACATGCTTTTCTTTTCCTCTTTCTTTCTTTCTTTCTTTCTTTCTTTCTTTCTTTCTTTCTTTCTTTCTTTCTCTCTCTCTCTCTCTCTCTCTCTCTCTCTTTATTGTTTATGAAGTAAATTCCATTAAACTAATCCAATTCCCCGGTTAGCTTCCTTGACTGTGCTGTTGAGCCATTTTCATTTCTTTTATTTCCCTTGTTATTTCTTCAAATCATTTTCATTAGGATCAATTCTTTCCCACTTAAAAATCTGAACGAAGATTTGATTCCTCAATGTGTGTTCATCTACCACAAATATTACTGCTCACAGCAGCCACCACTACAGCAAGCTGCCTCTTGCGGCTGCCATGTCTATAGAGTACTGTTTCCCCAGGTCAAATGTCGTAGCTGAAATGTTGTCAAGAAAATTGGATTCTTCTGCCAATTTGTAGTCAATTGAACACATTTTCCTCCGAGCTGTTCTGGTAGTTTGTAGTGTTATTTTGTGATTATTTTATCACTATTATTTAATGTAAACGGGATGAAATGCTGGTCGCCTCGATTCATTTTCTAACTCATCTAAAAGTGGAGAACAAGGTTTGGTGAGAAATGGGGAAGACAGAGAAGCAGACAGGAAGTGGTGTGGGGGTGGGGAAGAAAACAGGTGGAATGTAAGCACTCCTGAGCTAAAGAGTTGGGGAGAGGAAGACAGGGGAAGGGAAAGCTGCCATTGTCCTTGACACTGTTAAAGGACAGATCATTTGGCCAAGGTGTCTTCAGAGTAGACATGGAACAACCAACATGTCTCGAACAGGGTGGGGGGCAGTTAAGTGTTTGTGAAAAAGAGGATTTGGGCTGAGAAAAGCTGCTGAGTAGACACTGGCATTTCTTCATGGGTCCCAGGGACCGTTCCGGTCTCAGAGCTACACCCTCTCCCGGCCACACTCACTCATATCTATACCATCCACTCTAGCACATGGCATACACAGAGACCCAGAACATTGCATGTAGTCCCCAAAGCCACCCAAGCAGGCTTTGATACTCAAACAAAAGTTGCCTTTGTGTGATTCAACATCAATAAAGCGAATTCACCAAAGGCAACCTCTGCTCAAGAATCAAACGTCAGCACAGGCTGAGAGTAACGCAGGGCGCCTCTTCCCCAGGCAGCACTGCCTCCCTCAGCTCTGGCTCCCTGACTCCCGCCCTCCAGTGAGCCCCCAGTCCAACTGCAAAACAGCCTATCATGGACCAGCTTTCAAGATCTATCCTGCCTATAGGTGGAAGATGTTTCTATCATGATCATGTGCAAATATATCATGGGTCCAGGCTTTAGCTAGCAACTGGTCATTCATCCAGCAGCGCATGGACACCAAGTCTGAATCCCAAAGTGTGTCTCCCGGAGAAGTCCTGAGGTGGGTGTGACACAGCAACAACCATGACTTCTCTGAGTGGTAGGGTTCATCTGGCCCACCAATGAAGGCTGACCTAAAAGTGGATGCCTCCCTTTCCAAGGCAGCATCCTGGCAAGACCCCACAGACAAATCAGCAGCATCAGGGGAGCACAAAGCTTTGGGACCATCCTCCATTCTGTCCAGCTTCTGAGAGGCCTCAAAGAGGGTTCGACAAAGAAAACAGTTCCAACTGCCACTCATGCAGCATCATCCGCTCTGTGTACCCCCCAGCCCACTAGATAAGGCTTCTGCTCTTAAGGCCTCTGCACTCCAGAGACTGGGCAGAGACCTGTAGAACACCTACATTCACGTATCAACCACCATTATAAAAGCCAATGGTTTTCCCACTTTCTGGGGAAAACCGGGCACTGCCAAAATACTGAGCACACGTTAAGTGTGTATACATACCTTAGAAGCAGCCAGCAACACTCTCATACAGACAAACGGAGGCACAGACAGACGACAGGCTGACTCATTCAAGGTCACACCATTAGCAAGCATCAGGTAGTAATGAATGCTGGTGATTCCTCTCCTTCCCAAGGGCCACTGGAGTCAGAAGGAAGGACATCTGAATTCTCATACCACTAAATGCCACCTTGAGATGCCCTTCCCCATTCACAAGCCTGATAGCTGGGTCTGCTTCCTAGAGATCAACCCAGGACTCGAACACTGAAGAAACAGTGACGGATGGATAAGCGAGTGCCTTGGATCAGCTTGCCCCACCCCAGGGGTGACTCAGGTTCTTCCTTCCCTTCAGCATGCCTTGGTCTGAGAGGTTTTCTCACCTAAAGACACTGTTTGACACCATTTCTCTGCTCTCTATAACAATGGCCAGGAAACCACAGAGTCACCTAGATAGTTGGTGTCATTTCTGGGAGACCCTTCTTTGAAAAGCAGGTAACATAAATCCCAGAAAAAGTACTGAGTGCAGGGAACAGTCCATTTCCTTACCCCGCACAGTTGCTGGTAGAACTCCCTGGAGAAGCTCTCCCAGGAAGATTTTAGTGCCGAAAGGAGATTGGCCATGTAATACTCATCATAAATAAAATGAACACACCATGGACAACCTCCATTCGAACACTTGATTTCGAGAGCTTGTGCTGGTGCTTCCCAGGCAGCAACCTGAAGGGGGAATCCCTGAGAGCTGGGCAGATGGCTACATATTCTAGCCGTAGGACACATGCCCTGTGGCCTGGGGTCACATTTCTCCTGCCTGTGGTTAGAATTTCTGTCCTGAAGCCACTGTAGTATCATGGAGGGGCTTGCCACATGTCTGTGGGGTATGTCCTAGAGAGCAGTGGAAAGGCTCTTATCAGAACAACACCAGGGAACTGAACT